GAACTAAAACAAAACAGGGTATATGAAAAGATGATAAAAATGCTAATACCAGTTTCTGTGAATTTGAGAGTAAAATGTTTTCTGTTGCTTATTCCCATTTAGAAGCAAATCACTTTATGCAGAGCAATTCAAAAATTGAATTTTACACAGGTACGTCTATATGTTTAATAATATTGATTAATGTAAAGGTATTTTCATCACTTAAATTTCATTTGCATACTATATTAATTTGCTACATAATAAAGAATGCTGTGTACAGTAAATGCTTCAGTTAATCCCATTAATGAGGCTTAGGCTAAGTTCACACACGGCGTAAGGCTGGCGTGGCTTACGCAAGACGCAAGTCATCCACGAATTAAAATGCCAAGGTATTCACACTAACGGCGTTCGCTATTAAAGCCTGGCGTTAAAAATGGAAGTGCGTCAGCAGCATCCTTCGGTACATGATGATGGGAGGACTAGTTGCATTGTTATTATTTATACTTCCATGGTTGTTGTACACGCTGTTTCGATCGATTATGTTGCCTAACGTTTTACTGTCTTCGCTTTTGCCGTTTTTATTTCTTTTTGTTGAAGAAAGTGTAGCTCATGAGTTAAATAATGTAGGCCTAGACACGGAAACCGTGCTTGTTTGCTTGGTTTTGGTCAAGTATATCAAGTCAATTCGCTGTAGACAATTTCGCCGTCAGCAACTGAAGATGGATCTTCTTTAGCATTTAATCCAATGAGGAACGAGCAGGAGTCGACATTCTGTATGATCTGTACGATTTTCTTATCCAAACAATAGACCTACACTCTCACAATCCCTCAAAGAAAAACACAGTGAACTGTTCGCACACTTTCAGTTCTAGCAGAGCAGTCTAGCAGTCTTGTTTATTTATTGCAAAACTAATCGTGATTGGTCAATCTCTTGACCCGAGGTCAAAATCATTCAAGCATCACTGGCGTTAGCTCCACGGCGTTAACTAATCTGGGGTCTGCAGGTAGCGTTGATAATGCCAAAGACGTGGCGTAGTGAGTGGCGTTAACAACGCCACTGCCTAGTTCACACACAAAGGTGTACGCTACGCCAGGCTTAAGCCAGCCTTCCGCCATGTGTGTGTGTGTGTGTGAACATAGCCTAAGTAAGTGAGGGCTGGGTTTATTTTAAACTATTGCAGGATTTGAATTTGAGATTATAATGCAAGCACCTTAAACATCAAACCATGGCTGTGTTGGCTGTGTTAGTTATACTAATTATATATGTAACCATAATGTTAAGAAAGTAAATTAAACATCAATTTTGCAAATTTATTTAACATATTTTTCTCAGTGTTTTTAAAATGTGAGTGCATTCTTACAGAAGCGTATTTACCAATCTATGCTGTTTTAATGTTTATTACTTCTTTCAATAAGCAATAATATTAATATATAGTTTTATGTTAATATATTATTACTCAATTATTTTGGATTTTATGTGTTCTGTACATTTAGTCAATATCATGCTTTATTTTAAATTAAACTAGTTAATAATTGACAGTGATGCAAAACTAGTTTTAACCATTTTGGTCATTTTTCTGTATGGCAATCTTACTGTACACCTGAATAAAAAAATAAATTAAAAGAACCACAAGAGTTAAGTAGATTTAACAACAAATAAAGCAAATATAAGTATATAACTGTCATATTAATTGAGAAATCTTGTGCTGATAACTAATACAATGCGAATATTTATGTGGATTTCATCTTTTAAAATGTGGATATCAAATTACCAGTACTTGGCAAAAACTAGGACAAAATAAAGCCGTTGTCAAAAATGTTGATAAGCAGAATAACATGAAGTGTGAATACCATACAGTAATTGACACCAGACTAATGCTAAAGGCTGGTTTTAAATAGCATTCACCTCAATTAATACACCCTACTTATTAACTAATTAATCCTCAATGCTCTGCAAAGAACAGCTTTAACCATCCTTCTGATGAGTAAAGTAAAAAACACGTAATGAACCTGGTAGGAATAGTTTAGGGAAGTTTGTGAAATTTATCCATAAAGCTAGTAGAATTTAATATCATCTTTGATGCACTTAATAGCCATTCCCTGTTCAATGTAAAGTTAAAGGGCCATGGTATTAGCTAAGTGATGCGTGAAGCCGATACAAATTCTATGCGAACGAGTACAGCATGTTACGAAGGAAGAATCCAGAGACGTCACTAGCTTAAAATGCAATGTGTTTTAAATACGCTGTTGAAATCATCTGCCATTTGAGAAGTTTTCTTACCCTCAAATTTTTATTGATACTAAATTCAATGAGTGCATGAACTGTAGAAAAATATTTTTTTGTGAAGGGTGATTTTAGCATTGTGGCAGAACTCTCTGAGTGACAGTAAACTAATGATGTGCGGGTCAGAAAGCGGACAACCTCTCGTCAGACCTTCTCTAATGGATGCGGGATAGATTACTGTGAGTCACTGAGTTTGCACGCAACATTTGGCATTATATTTTACTTACGCTTTGCTGTCAACTTTACTGATTTTATGTACAACTCGGGATTGTGTAACGAGCACAGAAAAGTGCTATGTTGATCATGATTGATTCTTATATATTGCAATGCCCAAGATCATTGAAATTTGTGTTTCTCTTTCACTTGAAGAATTCAATACCAGCACCATTATTCCTCATTATCTCCATCATCTAATTACAGCTACCATTGAGGAGAGATCTTCACTGAAGCTGGCGATAAGGCGATGTATGTACGTGAATAGAGTTAAATCAATTGTACAGCTGATGGGGAACCTGGGAAAATGGAAGGACCTGGGGAGGTCCTGGGAAACCCTGGGAGTCTACAAAGCTTCAGAGCAACTAAATTGAAGCTGCAGATAATGATGCAAAGGCAGTGGTCATTTACAAGTAAGACATCATGTCCAGTTGTTATACTGTAGTGTATTAAAACTAGGTCAATCAAGTCACAAGGGGAATAGCTAAGCTCCATTAAGGATTTGGAAACATCTTTGAGGTGTGAAGTAAATGCAAGGTTCACTCAGTTGAAACACATCATTAGAGACTTGAACCATAGAGTTTCATTGATTGAATACTAGCAGATATAATTCCATGTTATGATCACATGGCACTTAATGCCCTATAAAACCATTTGCTTTCTGTTTAATCTTCTTTCATTTGGTTCACTTTTTGTAAACGACACAAAACTAGCATTAACATACCCTGTAATCAGCCAAGCAATATTTATAATAGTTCGGAAGTATTAAAAAGTACTGAATAGTATTAACTTCCTAATATAAAAGTGGTATAATTACTTAACGTTCAACTCTTTATATGAAGTACACTGACATGAGATATTAGCATTTAAGTTTTAAGATCAAAGGCAGGTTTATGAATTAAATTGGTGACTCTGGAGAGAGTATTTAATAGACTAGGGTAGGAAAATTGCTAGATTAGTAAGCATCTACTTTTGCCTGGCCTACTTCATGCGCCATCCGTTGCCTAATTTGCATTGCCAAAGTGACTGCTGAACCATCTCTGATTTCCCAGAAGATTTCAGTATGTCAAATTGCGTTTGGGTCGCCATTAAAGACAGCATCACCAGGGGCCATTATATCTTGACAACAGTGAAGGTTTTGCGGGCATCTTCTACATCTGAAGCTTCCCAGCCCAATTTCCGCAATAAGATGTAATAAGATACTACCTTTTGAAAATTATAAACCAGAATTTCATTTAAGAAAGCAAGTTCAGTGGAATGGAAGAAACGTCTTAGTTGTTTAGTAAGAGTAAAACTCAATTACTAGTGTGAAGAATTAAAGACTTAACAAGACTCGAAAGGGACTGCTTTCTAAGTGGAGGTGTTACAATACACACACATAATATTGCATACCCAGAACAGGTGTGATAACCACCAGTATCTGTATACACATGCACACTCACTTCAGAGGGATGAATAACAATTTTTATTCACATTTGCATACCCAGAGCAGGGAAAGTGACAAAATACTGTACACCTAATTACAGTATGTACAGTACTGTCATGTTCAAAGCAGAGCCAATAGCGAGCTTTCGAAATGGGCGACGCGGGGAGCTATGGAAATTCAGTCAACCATGAACGTCGTACTATGCATTTCCCGTCTCAATGTGAAAGCTGTTTCGATTTACAGGATGACATGCTCCCTCGTATTGCGTGATCAATTATGCAGGTGCCCCAGCAAGCGCGTATTTATGAAACTCACAACACAAAACCGCTTAAAGCCTGTTGTCAAATCCTCACAACGAACAACTTCCCCATGCGAAATACGGTTTCGCCGCGTCGTCCAAATCGAAAGCTGCTTATTGATGTCTTGTAAATACACAAATGTTTTATACTCAAAAGAAGAGGATGCAATATACATACATTCAGAGTACAGGATACGATAAACTTACAAACATCACAGTCATAGCAGAGATGTAGTAAAAACAAACATACTGTATTTAAGGTAATGTCCAACCTAGATGAATATGGGTTTTAGACTTTAAAAAAAATAGATTAAAACTGTTGGTAAACAGTTTTAATCTATTTTTCACAGACAACTGGTTTTATTTTTACATCGGGGTCACAGTTAAATGCTGTAGATATGGTAACAGTTTTAGATTTTAGGCTGGTACAGTAAGTTGTATTTAGCTCATAATGGGCGCTGAGCTGTGCTGGTACTGAAAATGGAATTCTGAGAGTTTAATGAAGTGAATCTTGAAGAATCCATGATTATGCAGGACAATCCATTATTTTGAAACTGCATTAAAAGAATTGTTTGCCTATAGCAATGCTTAAGTATCTAAGGTGTTCATAAAGCCCTGTGCTAATGTGTGTAAGAGAAACACGGTCCTATTGCAATTGGTGATTTTACCATATCGTAAAAAAAAAAAACAAAAAAAAAAACAAAGAAAAAGCCTAAATGCATCTCATTTATCAATTACAAGAAAAACTCTTTGATAGATTTGCAAGAAGGTAATCAATAATCCAGCTCTCTTAGTCTTACCTCTTCCATTTTGAAGAAATCCAACTTAGGTCTTGTATCCTCTTCCCTTCGCCTTTTCTTTCCGCCTCTCCTTCCCGATACGCAAGGCTGTGATCGGCAGCGCAACATACCGACTCCCTTCCTCTCTAGTTCTGGCGTTGAAGAAACGCTCGTTACTGAGACCACAGATCCCGAACTCTCCGAAACCTTATCAACTGAACAATACCAAGATTTTTGTCCTATCTGATGATGTAGAGAATTGGCATCTAACCAAGGCATATTCAGAGAATCGTCCCAAGAGGTCGCCGAAGCAGGGCGTGGAACCGGTGACTCTGGAGGTGTTGAAAATTCATTATCTAATTCTGAAAACGTACTAATTGGTGTATAATTGTTTGGTAGGCCAGCTAATGTGTTGAAATTGTGCATAGGGATGTGTCCTTGGTATGTATCTAACTTTGATTTTGTTACTGGACGCCAAACTTTAGATGCACGTGGCTTCCAAGTCTGTGCTCTCTGTTCTGTTAATTCTCCTGCCGATAGCGACCTACAGTGACGTTTCTTTGGAGGTGCCGCTGTAGGAGTCTGTGCCTGTGAATTTATGGAATTGTTTCGTGCAACCTCGTTTTGTTTACTTGGAATTTGGCACGGCGCACTGACTGCGTGCATGGGTTCAGCTGACGGCATGTCTGAACTATATGTGGAGCTCTTACTGTTTGTGCTTCGGAAATTACTTGTGTATATCCTAGAATCTACAAGAATAATAAGAAACAAATAATAAGTAAAAGAAAAAATAGAACACAAATAATTTTAATCTTTAGTCAGAATATTACAACACAAATGAAGTAATAATAAAAGTTTATAGCACATTTTCAATTAAAAGTTGTTCAAGGTGCTTTGCAGAATTAAAATAGACATATCAAAATTTTAATACATTGGAAACTAATTATACAACAGCTCAAAAACACAATTCACCTTTAGTTGTAAAATGATTATTGTTGAATTTGTAGAGAATATGATAGGCTTTATGGTAAAAATATCATATTCATTAATTCAACATTTAAAAACAGTTCAATCAATAGAAAAACAACAAACTCAATCAATTTTATGAATACATTATCCTAGAGAGTAGGGACATTAATCCCTAGATAATATTATTCAGGTATGACTGACAGCGTGTGTAAGTAAAGTGTTTTGAGCTTTACGATAACTAAATCAAATTTGACCAACTTGTGATATTGCATATTTTTATGATGCATACGAAGGCTTTATAGCATATTTAAGGAGAATACCACCGCAAATCCATGAGGTTCATTAGTATACCACTGTTTGTATGCTACATACACATGCTAAATATGATTTTAATCTTTTCATTGATACAATACTTTAAACATAACTCCTTTAATGTAGCGCCACACAGTACTAAAAACTTTTATGCTTCTTCCATACCATAGCACTGTACGGGTATTCAATTTTAACCTTGAATAGGTGCATTTGACGTAAAACGAAGCAATTCCACAACAAAATACAGAAACACTCGATCCAGCAGATGGCTCATCTGGGAAGCTCAACTAATTCCCAATATTACCTCTCATCACAACTGCAGCTTCTTGTCTAAATCCCTCATATAAATAAATTTCATTTCACGAACAACACAATGACCTACTGAAATAGGCCATTTAATATTCATGTTATAGAGGTCTGACCTAGAAAAAAATGCGTATGCGTAAGCTTTGCAATATATGAAAACACGGCCATAAACGAATGCCGCTGTTTTGAACCTCCAACATGTTGGTAAATTTAATGGGATGCTTAATTAATGATAACCTAACCAGGAGAGTTAATCCTGTTGATTTTCAATGATACAGGCAATAAGGAAATCTACTGTCCTTCAATTCATAAGAAGTAGCCGTATAGGTTTTTTTTTTGTTTTTTTTTTAAATAAATGCATTAGAAAATATTGCATGGAATCTATAACTTTTCTGCAATAATACTTAAAAATTCTAACCTCAACAATGAAAGCATTATGGACTTATTTATTGTAAAACTATAAAAGCAACAGAAATACCAAAATATTCATGCAGTATATAGGCAGAGTATACAAAAGACGGTATCAGCATACATGTTAAAATGAACACAAATATTATTATCAAAATAATTAATAAAACATTATTTTCATAACTATATAAAATATCGCCAATAATCGTTATTAAATAATAATCATTAATCAGTAACTGTAGAAACCTGTTCCTGAACTACTTTCTAAAGTGTTACCATGACAACGTCATTCATAATTTATCAAGAGATAGACAGCAGGTCTGTTTTGTAAATTTGACAAAATTTATTTCATTTATTATTGTCAGACCGCAGTGAGCACTAACAACGCTAGCCATGTAGTAACACGCAAAAGAGAATTCTGATTAGCATCATAATGTTCAGTATCACTTAAAAATCATGATTAATAATTTGCAATTACTTTCAAATTTTTTTATAGCAGCCAAATAAACTGTTTCCTGAAAAAAAAAAAAAAATGAAGACAAATTTTGAAGGAAATAAACGCTCTCTATTTTCTAACAGCGTCTGAAATAACTTTTGACCACCTTGTTATCTTCCTTTTTCTACAGTAGCGTTAATTAATAGGACTAGCCTATGTCTAGAATTTTTTCAGGTTTGTCATTGGCGACAGTGTGGTAGTAAACAAACAGCTTGTGTACACAAGCCATAACACATTGAAATGCTAAGTACAAATTATGTTCAGTTGGGAATACGAAAATTATGTACAATGATGACATCCCAATTGATTATTATTTTTACTTTTCCTTGTTAAAAAACCTGCAAAATCCAATTCATTTACTCCATTCATTTATTTATTATTTCAATTGGAACGTATATTACTAGAACTTAAATTATAACAGGTACAGCAACTGACAAGGCCAGAATCATAATTTTCATCCTCATCGGTAAGCACTGTTTATCCGTGGTGTTCAGTTGGGAATACGAAAATTATGTACAATGATGACATCCCAATTGATTATTATTTTTACTTTTCCTCGTTAAAAAACCTGCAAAATTCAATTCATTCACTCCATTCATTTATTTATTATTTCACTTGGAACATATATTACTAGAAATTATAACAGGTACAGCAACTGACATGGCCAGAATCATAATTTTCATCCTCATCGGTAAGCACTATTTATCCGTGGTGTTCAGTCCTGACGTAGAACTTAATACACTTGTGAATGTTATGGACATTTTGGTTTAACAGGAGAGGGTGGAGTCTCATTAGATATACATAGTAATGCACTTATATAAGTCTGCATTGCAATAGAATGACTATGTGCTTTGTATTATTATCCCTGGTCACTGGAATATGGAAATACCTATGGAACACATCATCTACTCCCGGAGGAGCACCATTCCATATCAGCTAGAGTCAACACTTAGTAATAATGGGTCCTACAAGGGATGAAAAACTTGCTTTCTTTCTGGCCTTACTGTACCTACAAACTGTGATGGTCCTCGTCTAATTTCAAATAGTTGTCTTGACCATAGATCAAAGGATCTGTGGAGTGACAATGTCAATCATATTTTATCAAGTGATGAACAAAAGAACTCTTGTAAAGTTGACGAACGTTGATCGTAAATATGTACCCGAGAAAAACATAGGCGTACACTAAATCTATAATGGATTATCCATGTTGGACATGATATTCAATCATATTATAAGATAAGTTCTGCAACAAAACAAATGGCAAAGCTTGCCACACCCGTTTTTGTTTTCCAAAGATTTAGTAGCCTGCAAAGTTCAAATACTTAATGATGCACAGGCTAGGGTGGTGTTCTCTTAATTGCATGCCTTCTGCCTATGTGGTAGGAACATTTGATGGTCAACTTGGCTAGGGCTTGACAGCTTTCACTTGTCATTGTACTCTGCCCTCACTTGCTGTTGCATTGCATAATGTACTGTATATCATTCAGTGGCTCATTCAGGAAGTAGAAATAAGAAGGATGGACGTAACCAAAGAGTATATATAGAACAAGAGAGCAAAATCCCGTTCGTAAAAACGTCACGCCTGTGTAGGACGCCCACTAACGGTTGTATGTTCATTTTATTACCCAGTGAAACGTTGCGCAGCGCGGTAGAAGTATGCCTGCTATAAACTCAGTAAGCAGAAAACAAAAGTACAGTATCTTGTGGAGAACAGATAAACAGACAAACCGACCGTGCGCGGTGGAGTACTGGGTTATAAAAAAAAAATATACAAGCGTTAGTTGGTGTCCTACACTAGCTGCGTAGGGCGTATCGTTTTTTTACGCTCTCAATGAGCGTTGTTGGCTCTCTTGTTCTATTTATACTTTTTGACGTAACTTTACTACAGCCAGACTACTTCAGCCCCACACCATGGTTGGAGCTGAGTACGAAATTTAATGCAACACCTGCAGATGGATGGAAATGGCACTCTCAAACTTACATATTGAATGCAGTTTACTTTCTCCCTTTTCTTTATTTTCAATAACTTAGAGGGAAGGGGAAAAGGGGAGGACCAGCTAGGGGCCCCTGAATCCACCTTTTTCATTAGTTTTGAACTAGGCCATGTAAACAAAAGTTGATCTTTCTTAATAAAAAGGGCCTTGTAAAATCTTCCTCATGATTGCCTGAAGTGGCGAATCTCACAGAAACCAATTGACACTCCTTCAACCACTGTACACCTTAAGCTGGATGGATAACTTAATAGAAAATCGTAAGCCATTCATTACACTAAAGCCAGAAGCCCTCTCTCGACTGAATGGCACACCTAATAGGTATGGGTACCAGTTTGTTCTATGCTTTAGAAACAACAAGATTTTTTAAAGTAATCTTCTCTCAGAGCTTTATTAGACAATTTCACATAGATTTATTCCTACTTTATACACTATGTCATATTTGTCTATACCATCTGCATTTCTTTCATTTATTTTTTAAATTTAAAAACATTCATCTAGAAGAACAGGCCATTTGTGGCCCTTACAAATACAAACATCATTCAATATATAAATAAAAGTGCTAATTAATATAAACAAAGCGGTAATACATGACATGGATTTTTTGTGATAAAATATGTGACCACTAGACTTTCTATATCAAATGGCCGTCCATGAACTTTCTTTTATTAGTATGTTCACACTAGTTCATATAAATGGCAAAGTAGCAAGAATAGGGTCAATCTAGTAAGCTGTCTACACCATTAGCCATTGTAGGCTTAGCCAGGCTTCAGCTTAAGCCTCCATCCACGCTGTCATGAATTACTATCAACATACACATGATTATTTTACACCACATCCTGAAATGTTGGTGACAAAATAATAAAACTCTGCACGCTTCCTGCTATGATCGCTTGTACACACACTAACAGCCCAACCTTTATAAGCACTTTACCCTGCAATTTATATTTAATTATTGAACAATATATTCAGCCTTTTTTGTATCGCTGACTGAACCTCACACTCTTTAAGTACTATTTGCAATACACCCACTCTGCTTCTTGTATAATGTCATAAATGGGAGGACAGAAAGTAGCTTGCTAACCTTTGGAATTTAGGGATACTATACAATACTGGGGACAAAGAACCGAGACATAAAACCTACATCAAATATTAATAATATCCAAGTAAATAAATTCATAGACTGAAATATGCAATATACTCTTTAGTTAGGTCAAGTAGAAGTACACTTAGTAACAGAATGTATATAATCAAGAGATAAATATCATTTTGTTTTCAACTTTAATTTTAACTACTTTTTGGGATTTTTTTTGCCTCTAAATTGTTTTTCTTTGACGTACACGTAATCATTCTATGTATTGTAAAGGCATCTGAATGCTATGCATATTTTTGTTTGCAATAATCTTGTTCATGAAAATATTTTTTTTTATGTTATTGTACTTGCGAAAAAATATAAATGTAAAAAAATTGAGCAAGAAATATAACATAATCATTATTAAATATTTTAATGATTGTGGGTTGGTTGTTCTTGAGCAACACAAAGTTCTATTATTTTTTATGCCTAGATTATGATACTTATTATCTGTCATTTTTTGTTTTAATTATTTTATAATTACGAATCTGCGTATCAAGGGTGTTGATATAAACAAAAATAAAATAATTTTTTTTTTGACTTACCTACTGAGGAGTTGACTTGCTTATGGCTCAGTTGACAAGCTTTGGTCCTACTGCGGGTATGATAGGCAATCTGTAAACAAAACATAATCACACATTAAAACTTAATACCTATTGCACTACCATCAATAAACAGTACTATAATCGTTAATTCCAATGTAACCAAAAAGGCTGTTTATGATATTGAGTTCATGGAATAAACACCAACCACAGATTAAATGACACGGATGAAGCAAAATAAGGATATTATAAAGTACCAGGATGTATGCACTTGTAAAATGGAAAAATTTCACTGTTCAGTTACAAAAATTATATTGGTATAATACTGTATATAAACTAAACATTAGGCACTGTCCATGTTATCAAATTTTATTCAACAAAAACATGCGAGATGCGCTAAATATGGTAATGACATCACATCATGACCATATATAGGCATACCAAGACTAATATGTGCGTTCAACAGTTTTTTGTCAAATAAAATTTGATAGTCATGACAAATACTTGACAACACCTGATTAGTACTTTTAGAGCTATAGTAGTTAATGTATCTACAACTTTTAACACAGTACATACTATAGGCTAGTGAACAATGATTGAGGATATGACCTGAAATTGACCTCTTCTATGATCTCTCAAAAGCTCCCTCTTTAAACTAAATTGTCAATAACAACAGACAACTGTTAGTTGAAGTTGATAAAATGACCTTGCTAATAATCGTCAGAGCACACTTTCATTCACATTGTTCTACATGCAATGAGAGTCTCACATGTATAGTTCGCACATGCGTCAATGCAGAGTGAACACGTTCCTGGTTAAAACCGAAATCCAAATCAAATGGCAAATGGTAGAATAAGACACTAAAATCCAATGATGGATTATATAAAAGCTTATCCAGGGACGTAACTAAATGTCAAAAAACAAGAGTGTAACACCAACACATCTGATCAAAACATTCATTTAATCAACTGAATTATTTTCAGAATTTTCCCCCTCAGATCATTGCAAAAAAAGGAAATATTATGAAACTACCTATTTGGCTATGCTGCTGAACAAGGCTGGAACTCTCCTTGCATGTGGCATGCTTTTACCAACTTTAACCATATTGGAACATATAGAAACAGTTACTCTACACATTATACACCTAATAAGCATAATAAACCAGGTCTGCATAACTCAGTTGTTCTTCGCATTGCCTATTCTTGCATTCCGAAGTGCACAAGGCTTTTAAGGACAATTACTATGCATTCTAGTCATTATAGGCTCACACTGAAAAGTAAATATATGCGCTTCTTGGTACGTTTATACACTTTGTGCACGTATAACAATACGCGGCCATACTGTACAGTATGAGAAACTGGTTCAAGTCAACATGTGTAAGTATACATGTGCAAGCGTACACAGGAACAAGTATTGTGCTTCAATAGTAAAAAGCCGAGGATTGCCAAGAATTAGCATAACATTTTTTAATAAATGTTTTAATAAATACTTAAATTCTGTCAATTACTTTTGTTGATGAACAATGTGGCATACAAGTCAAGCCTCACACATTCGGCGTGAGACTCCCGCATTTGTGGTCTATCTCACGCTCTCAGCATAAATGTAATATTGGTGATGATGTGATGTCATAATGACCATATTAAGGTATGTCACATGTTTTTGTCAAATTAAATTGATAGTCTTGGCAAGTACTAAGGTGGATCTTTATTATTGACACTATTATTAACTCATCTTATAGTTTGATGATTTTGATTAGTAAAAAGATTGTTAAATTAAAATGTGTGTGGGTGGGTCTCTAGTTAGACATGATTGTGTGAGGAAAATTTCCAAGAGCACTTATAGTTTCTTAATAAAAATGGATGTATTAATTAACTGCATGGCAGTTGAAAAAAAAAATTTGCATTGAAACAGATGTGATGAAAATATTTATGACATTTCAAATTTTAATGAATGTTCAAAAACTTGAACATCCACAAACACACTGATGTTGTATCCAGACACGCACGATGAATGTTCTCTATCCGCGGAGAGACCAAAACTCATCATAAAATAAACACATTTTTGATATGTGAGCTTTGATATAAAATGTTTATATAGCCTTTGATCCACTGAGAGTTCAAGAACATTTGGACACATGACTCACACAACCAAAACAACATATTTGCTTCAATTATTATTAAAAAAACAAAACATTTTTTCAACTCTTTATCCTTGATCTGAATATTGCTTTCCAATTACTCCGTACTGAAACTCCATGAGGCCTGGGTAAATATTCAGTAGCTGGAGGCCTCACTGTAACCCTAGCATGCATGTTGCATATCAACAGCCGAGCTCAACATCACATGCTTAGATGCAGTAGTACAACTTATTATTGTAGTTCCTAGGATATTAGGGAGCTTTTGTTTTGCGCGACGATGTGACCATCCTACCGTGCATCCTATGTTCTCTGCATATCTAGATTTGGCCAAATTGCTGTAATTTATGCCCAATTTTATATACTGTACCCCTGGGGAGCTCACTAGCATAGCAAATAAATTGGGGGGGGGGGGGGTGCCGCAGCCACTTCAAGACATGAGACACTTGCACTACCTTTTTTACTGAAAATTCTTATGGACGCACTGTGCTGTGAAAGATGACAGGAAAAGGGCCACTCAATAGTGCCAAAGAGTGCGCAATATTGACTGGTTCCCGATGGCAAAAAGTGTTCTGTCCGGTCGCGATCTCGTGGCTGTACTAAAGGCAGGCTTAGTAAGGGCTTACAGGCTTAGCACCCACTCTAGCTTGAAATTCCCACTTTGGCAAATTGTGGCACTTTGACATAGGATAGGCCTGGGACACAATTTCACAATGGTTATTTCCCACACTTGTGCTACAAGTCCTCACAAGTACACCCCATAAATGCAGCACCTCCATGTATAGAAATATTTAAGAGTGAGCCCCCCCACTCCCCTCCCTCCCACAAGACTGTACCAGCCTTTCTCTGGCATTATTTTCAAATATTCTCAGAAGCAAACATCAAATGCTGGTTTTGAATTTGGCATACGGTGCAAAAAATTGCCATTTGATTAAAAAGGGGATACCCAGCCTGGTATGCCTACCCCCACAAATTAGCCCAATTTGTGTTCAAGGGAAGTGGCTTTGCACCAGATAAAATATTAGAAATCATTCAATCTCTCTTCAGATTCGTTCGGTTGAGTTTCATTGATTATTAAGTTTGATTTCAAATTGCAAAACTGTACATGTTGACATGGTACTTATAAATTATCAATCATTGCAAATGTAGTAGCTTATTTATTTAAGAGAAGTACTCATAAACCAGGAAACCACAGAAGACCATTCTCATTTACTAGTGCCACGTACACTGTCTCTGTATTCTTTGTACAGCTCTGTACATCAAGATAAGAAAGGCCTATAGCAGACTGCTACTGAGATAAATCAAAACTCTATATTGAAACTTTCATAAAATCAGGAAACACTAAGATGTAATTAATAAACCTTCCTAGTTTTAAATATTTTTAACTTCTTATATTTGGTAAAAGTAAAATATATACTAGGAATCTCATGTGGGCATGGGTGGAGAGATGCTGGGACAAGGTGGGTGAAAGTCATGGGTGGCATGGAGAGGCAAGTATATAGTAGGGTGAGAATTTGTGGAAAGGGTGAAGACATGTGAAAGCAATGTATGATGGAAGGACACAAGTGTGTGGAAAGGGGTGTACTGTATGTGGAAAAGGATATGGATATGTCCATTGTGAAAAAATTTAGATATTTGGAAATAGTGCTGTATGTGGAAATGGATATAGAATATAAGTACTATATGTGGAAATACAGGGCATGTGGGAGGAGTTTCTCCCTTTGTTCCTTTGTTTTTCTGAGCACTCCCTCAAATTGGTGCACTGAAATTAGTAATGCTCCTTATAACTCAAAGATTGGATTGGATTGGTAGTATGTGGAAAGGAAGTAAAAGTAGAAATAGGTGTAAGTATAATCTGGGAAATTAATGCAAGTTTTTTATTATGTGGCATAATATGGATAACATAACGGATGGATGGAACATTTTAAACAATAGAGCTACAGTATATGGAAAAGGTGGCCATATTATGCGGAAAGGATGAAAATAAGACAAATATGGGACATTATGGAAGGAGCATGTAAGAGGGGACATATGTATTTGACATAAGATGTGAAGCAAAGATACATATTTGTGGAATGTGGAAAAGTACGGAGCATGGGGTATGTGTTTTCTACACTCTTCCTCACTTCCTTAATCAAATTGATAAAGATAACAATATTACAATATCAAATAGTGTAGGCCTACAGCATTTATAAAATGACTTCACTACTGTTTCAACAATGTTTATTTATAAAGATGATCTGCACACTTAATAGACACATGTCAATCACACAGAAAAAATATCTGATTAATTTTGACAACAGTGTCAGTGTGCACTACATGTACAATCACAGTTGATCCGGTGTTGTGCAGAATTAAATCTGAGTGGAATATTCTGGTGTGGCACCAGAGATTCTCCAACCAGAGGTCCAAGGTTCCCGACTGGGGTTTACACTCAAGTCAGCCCAACGTGATTGGGGCTGAGCTGAGCAAGTTTAAGAAAGGTATATAATCTTAGACTGCAAAAATGGTTTTTCAAAGTAGGGTTTTACTGCAAAATGATCGCTAACCGACAAGATGATTGGCTTGTTCCCTGACTAAAAACAACTGGGAGGTCTGGCATCTGATCAGGTTGCCAAGCACTTGTTTGGACTATAGGCACTTGTATGAGCGGCTGCCATTGTATGGATTAGTTAGGCCACCATACCATTAGCTATGCTACCATGATCCAACACACTTTAATTGGCTTAAGGCACTTCCACGAGCTGATAAGAACTGGAAGACCATGTATTTGAAATGGATTACTGTGTAGGCCAACAAGCATCTACATGGGCCAGGTATTTGCATAGGCTATATTTGCATGGCCTTCAATACTTGTTTTTTTCCCTTTTGTAAACCTATTTTACAATCAATTAAACCGAAACTATCCACTTGAATTATAATATACCATAGTTTCTCAT